ATACAGGTGAAAAGTGGCAATAACCTCATGTCCCAAGTGCCATAATTGCTTTTTCAGAGAATTCTGCAGGCAGACCTGCAACCTAGGCCGATCGGCTCCTGACAGACCGGCTCCTATTGACCCAGGCAAAAGGGGAAGGAATTTGGAACCAGAATTTCAGTGTCTAAGTTCACAAGAAAAACTGTATGAGTACTTTCTTATGTCCCTAGAAGGCTACCTTTCCTGGGAGATTCTTGGCAAGGTCAGAATGCTAATGAAATGGATTATTTCTCAGACTAGAATCAAGAATTGGGGTTAGGTAAGTAACAGAGGATCCTTCCAATGTGTTTTGATTTGACCTGTTTGGGAGATTTTCCAGCCATTTGGAAAAAGCCATTGTCCTTCCCCATGTCCAACCTTCCCCAGGCTCCCCTCCAGTGAAAAAGCAGAGCACATTTCTCACCTGATCTCTGGAAGACCTCATTCTCCCCGTCTGCATAATTACTCACTCACATTCCTTTTTAATCATATTGCTCTACATATTCTATGACCTGTGAATTCTGTTTACATTATTGTTTCCTTCTGCAATCCACATTGCCTTTGGCTATGGCCTGTTCTTATTTTATTATTCTTATGCTACATTATTACATCTGGAAGTGGGATGTTAATTAGGCTGATTTTTCTTTTGACTACAGCGAATTCTTGTTTTCATACTGTCTAGAGAGAGTGTTAATATAGGCTGACCAGGAACAATAAATGGGAAATCTCTTCTGGCCTTTGCCTTTTCTTCTCTTCTTAAAATCTAGTTTCTCCACCAGATGAACCTTGGCATTTGTGGGTCGCTGTCCACATACTGCAATCATTATATACAGCATTCAATCTTTGGTGACAAGAAGCCCCATAACTCAGAAGAATTTCAAAAATATCATCTTGTATGTATCTTTAAATTATGCCATGGTTTCATGCAATCATGCACGCACTAAATATATGGCTATGGTTATAACAGTGTAAAATATGTTTCTCATATAGCTCTTTATTTGAAAGATAAATAAATAGCACTGCCATCAAACATATAGAGAATGCCTTAATTTTTAATCTGTAATATAATTCTTGAAAGTTCATGATAGCAAAATGCCAATGTTTAAACACATCTCATCTTCTATTATGGAAAATTCTTGTAGTATGATTCAAATAACTGAATAGAAAGCAAACTGAGCCATTATTAGAAAAATAATAAACTGACTCTGCATGTTTTCAGAAGTTTAGATATTGTATGTAATGGTGATTTCTCTCCAAAGAGTTTAAACAGCATCAACATTATCTCCTATTTCTTTGAGGAGACATTCGAAGGAGGTAGTTTTCAGATTCTTTTGTCTCTGCATGAACAGGGGTTGATAGCTTGAGACTATAATGTATGACTGTGGAGAGCTTCAGTCTGTTACATAAATCATCTTAACACTCAGCAAGAATTGTCCAACAGTGCCATTGATGTGCTCAAGCCAATGATCCTGCAAACATTTTTTTGTCTTTCTTCACATGTTAGACAATAGCAATAAATCATCTTCATTTAAAATCCCACAATGTACTAATTTTTCAAGCAACAGTTATCAAAATATAATATTTGGTAGAAAGTACACTTATTTTATTTATGCTCATTAAGTTTTGTGACTGGTATTGAATAAAAGGTAATGATTGCCTCACTTGCCATAGAAGCATTTGTTGTGCACCTACTGTGTGTGAGGCATTCTGCAAAGTGTGATTTGTGATACAAGAGATTGTAAGATGCAGTTTGTTACATAGGAAGTGAATTAGAAGAGATGTAAGTAATTAGGCTCCCAACAAGTAGCCTGTTCCAAGTGTGAGGCTTAGTAATATCAGAGTGTAAATAAAAGAGGAATTATTTGAAGCTGGGATGCTGCAGAAATTGTTCTCAGCAGATTCACCCTGATAACAGGGCCCGAAGATCAGACACTTCTGCCAAGATGCAATTAGTGATTAAGGGAGGACCACGAAACTGACGAATGAAGGACTCTGGAAAATGAAGCAAGGATGTTCAACAGCAAAGTCAGGTTCTTCATCTTTAAGAAAACTTCAAGGGCAAGATTGGCTCCACCAGTCAAAAAAAAAAAATCTCTGGGACACCAGGCCCAAAGCAAGCCTCTATTGCATCTGGTCCAAAGGTTGAATGAGACCAGAAAACAAGGTCAACTTGATGCCACCCCACAGAATGTCTGACACTGGATCTTTCTGGGGCTAGGACTGGGTAAACTTGGACCCTTGTGGTGCAACTTAGAAGCTGAAGCTTTGAAGATTCAGGGGTATCTTGGCAATAAGCCAAGCATGCTCAGATCGGGGTGGGCGGGGCGGGACAGTCCATCCCTCCTCTGTGAATCATGACTGTTGCCAGGGTGCCCTCTCCAGGAGCTTCCAGAAAAGTCCTTAACATTTACATATACTCATTTCTCCTGTCATAATTCATTAATGATACTGAAATGGGGAACAGACTTTTTCCTCTCAGTATTGTTTGAGGGTCTACATGAGTGTACGAGATGTATTTTTAAGGAACATTTTAAAGCCAAGTGTTCTCTGCAATTGTTTTAAGGGTCTCCTCCTCTCTCGCTAAAAAAGGGGGGGGTGAAACAAATAATGTACCCCCAACCACCCATACCCCATACATGGATAATTAGGGAGAGCAGGCTGATGTGCAGGAGCTGCTGCTGAAACCCTAATGGGGCCCAGGCATGTTCTTCTGGTAACAGGTCATCATTGTATATTCGGAGTTTAAAGTAGATAATTAAAACATTCAAATTTAATTGTTTGGTGTACAGTTTTATGTACAAATTGGCAGTTTACACTTTTTTTAGTTTTTAAGATGCTTTCAATTCTCACATTCACTTCTTATATTCTGAGATTTAGTTTTATACATTTTTGTTTCATTTTATAAATACTCCACATTAACCAGAAAAAAATTAAAGAAATTGTACATGAAAATAATCACTCAATTCAACTATTCTGGAAAAAAAAGCACACTTTTTTTATGTGAAAAGTACAGTTTATGTGTATCTTTTAAAACTTTTTAAGTTTGTTTTCTATTTTATTTTGGGCTTTTGTTTTTTCACTTTATTATTATTTTTATTGTATTTTTTGAATTTTATTGTAATTTATTGAATTTTTAAAAAGTCAGAAATGCAACATAGATCTAGAAATGCTACTTGCAAATGCTACCTCAGCTCATCTCTTAGTATATGTAGTTACTTAATTCCTCTAAGCCTTAGTTCCCAAATCTATAAAATAAAGATGTTAATAGTATTCAATTCATTAAGGGTATATCAGGATTAAATGAGGTAATACAACTAATTTGAGTAATAAACTGGCTCATAAGATAATCAGTAAATGATAACTACATTATTATTATTATTATTATACCATCATACAATTTAATCTGATCATTTAATGCATTATGAATAATTTTTCATGTCAATTAATATCACTACATTATTGTCTGAATAGCTGAATATTATGTCATCATGTGCATGTTCTATAATTTATTCTACCAGTTTCTTCTTATCAAACATTGAAGGCATTTCTGATTATTCTCTGTTAAGAAGCACACTATGATAAAAATCTTATATGTTTTTTCTTTGAGATAATGTTCTAGAGTACTATATTTATGATCAATGGAATCACAGAACACTCACTCAAGAGAAGACCTCAGAGAATATGCCCCTACTTTACAGATGAGAAAACCGAGGCCCTGAGAGGATAAATGATTTTCTTGTATTTAAAGGACCAGATGGGCAGAGGAGAAACACACAGTATCATTACAAAGTTGCTTTTTATATTTAATAATTAAATAAAATGCCTTGGGTTTCAATATACTATTTTAAGATTTTTTAAAAAGATTTTACGTGGTTATTTTTAGAGAGGGAAGGGAGGGAGAAGAGAGAGAGAGAGAAACATCAATGTGTGGTTGCTGGGTGTCGTGGCCTGCAACCCAGGCATGTGCCCTGACTGGGAATTGAACCTGCAATGCTTTGGTTCACAGCCTGAGCTCAATCCAGTGAGCTATGCCAGTCAGGGCTCAATATAGTATTTTAAAATACTCATGGCCTTTGAGCTTTAATAAATTTTCTTTTTTAAAAAAAAACCTGAGTGCAATTGATTTTTCCTTATGGTTCAGTTCTATTTGCTAAATAACATGAAGGTAGACAACCCAGAGCTGAACATTCAGTGTTGGCCTGTTTTTTTTTTTTTTTTGGCACATAACTTATATGTAAAGTGAAAAATACATGCTATCTCTGTTCATGCGCATTCTTATCATTTTTGACTGTTGTGTAGAAATTAGCAAATGTTGGCTATGTAAACTTACATTCTTCATAAAGTAGACAGATCAGCTGAGGAAGAGACCTAAACAGATGGCCTGAGCTCTTGGTTTGGCCCCTCCCTCAAACAAAGAACAGAACAAGGAAAGAGAGGCCCCTGTTTGTACTCCGATGTGCAATTCCTACTCTGGAACATTTAGCAGGAACTCACTGCAAGTGGATGCCTAAATATATGATGATCATCTCACTTTCTAAAGTTTTTGCCACAAAGAAAGTTTACAGTGAAGTGGAGCTGAAGATGGGGACATGGAAGAAAAAAGAAGAGCTGACCAATTGGAGAGAATTTCCTGTTTGATGAAGATGCAACCTGTTATCCTTGAGTTACCCAGAAGTTGGATCCCTGGGGAAGAGCAGGAGGGGTGAGTGTCTTCTATAGAAATCCCTCCTGCACTTTGTTTTCCTTCTGGAGGAGAAAAGGAAGAGCACTGCCGGTGGGGGAAGTCCTGAATGCTGACAGGAGAGTAAGAGGAAACAAGCCAGCAGTGGTGGCAAAAGTGTGGAAAAGGCTGAACAGGAGGAGAAGCAAGGAATCGCTGGTCTGGATAAAAGAAGTCAGGAACAGCAAATAAAACCTCACGTTGCATGGCCTGTTATGTGTGTTTGGACAGATGTAAGATTGCTGCTTTTTTTTTTCAGAGTTTGTATCACCAGCATTCATAAAATCAGTACTAGGGAAAGAACTAGGTCTGGGGACACATGCATGGTCTTAACACAGAGAATGGTTAGCCTGCCTGATTATTACAAAATCAGAACAGTGAGAATATTCGCAGAGATTGCTGCTTTTGCAGGTAAAAGATGATCATGTATCTGCAATTTCATTTGGTTCAACCTCATTTTTTCAGAGTACTTGCACACACGTTCACACATTGTAGTTATTTCAACACTAACAAGGGTCGGTTGAGGTTGGGATGTCCATAAGCTAGAATAAAATAAAGACTAGCTGACCAGGGATGGGTTGTGATGTGGGCATGAAGCCTTCCCAGGCCTAACTCTGATATTTACTATTTTGTAGATTTTTTTGCCCATCATTCTAACCTCTCTCATCCTTGCTGAATTATTCTATGGATTGAGATAATGTATGCAAAGCCTTTGCTTAGTTCCTTGCCAAATAGAGGTAGCTGTCAACTGACAGCTATTATTATCATTATGGATCTAATTCATTTATTACACTGTGGGTATGGGAGGTCTAACATAAACTTCTAGCCAAGCAGAAACTTTCTACTAAAACATATCGTTATGTTGACAAGCAAGAAGTTTAAATGAAGTCAGAGGATAAGAAATAAACAGCTGGATACTCACAGTACAGATGAGTCCAGACTGCCCCCAACCAAGGCAATTTCTGTATAGGGCTACTGGCCTTGCCCCACACCTGCGATCCTACTGCTGTCCCCGGTCCCCAACCACTATTCCTCTAAGGCTACTTTGTGAATTCAGAAACTAACTCACAGTGAGTTAAGCCCTTCTTGAGGGAGGACCTTCTCCTGAAATGCCGAATGCCAAGCTGCATACAGGGAAGCCTTCGTTATTGGTCTCAGATCGTGACCATCAGAGCCATTCTGAGTTTCAGAGCAGGCAATTCCATTTGAATAATTTGATGCTAGGACTCAGAAGTTACTTGTTTGACTGCTAGCGAAAGAATCAATCATCATAACTTATAAACAGCAAGGAATGTATAGAGAACGTTTTTCAAGACAGTCATCAATTACTTTCAAATCATTAGGGTTGTAGGTATAAATTTTTATATCCAAACTGAAATAACATAGATCAGAAAAAAACACAAGAAAAAGGGGGAAAAAACGGACATAAATGAAGATTAAACTGAAACGTTCTTTGTGTTTCTGGGAAGTCTACCTCAGTCTGCTCCCAAACTGAGGAACTGAAACTGCAGAGGGAAACTTGACACATCTTTAAAGGTGTTTGGGTGGCAGACGAACATTGAAGAAAGAGGTCTCAGAAGAGACACAAGTGGGTGGAAAAAAACCTCAGCCTTTCCAAGCCTCAGTGTTCATACAGTAAAAATGGGCAAAGTTGCTTTTACTTGATATATTGGCATATTAAAATTGGAAGATTTCTTTAGTACAACCTTTAAGTGCCTTGAAAATGGAGACAGATGACATTGTTCAACATATTACTATCTTAAAGTTAAGTATTATTTTTATTTTTTGACATTCTTTAATGACAGATTTATTACAGTAAGTGACAGGGGAAAAATCTAGTGTGTTATACCTTGTAAAATTTAACAAAGGGGATCTTACTGTAATTGTTCATGTGCTAAAATAAAAAAATCTTCAAAATGGAATTCTGAACAAGCTGAAGGACTGCTTTCAAAATGCCAATCTCAGCTATGTAAGTGGCCAGGCTGTGCGCTGGAGCCCCAGCGCCTCCTCCCAGCACCTGAATGTTTTGGTGCCAATGACAGTTGCCCACTGAGCCAATGGTCCTCCAAATGGAGCCTGATGCTTTGAGAACCTGGTTTGCATCTGTTTTTAGCCCCAGTGCTGTTCCATTCAGGTATTTTCATAATTTTTATCACTGAAATTTCTTTCCCTAATGCTTGAAAACCTACTATTAGACAATTATAATAAAATTCTTGAGCATACTCAGCAACAAACATTCATTTTCTGAAATAAAAAAATGAGTCTTATATTCACAAATCCCACAGCTTGGAAATATATATGATACACAACATTTAACCTGTCAGCAGCCTCATTAGTGTCAATGAGTAGGAACTGGCAATCAGTGCATGGCGTGCTCTACATGTGTTTACATTGTAAAACGTTCCCGAAATAGCTCTGTTTGAGAGGTTGATGTAAAACACTTCTACTGGACAAATGAATTTCAGTTTAAATTTTATGGTCTACTTAAATGTTTTTTGAAGAATTCATATTTCTCATGTTAAATGATCATTTATAGCTAACAGAGTCCAAAACCAACTAAAAAATAATAAATAATGAAGACTCGGGTAAAGAATCATCTGAAGTTCAACCACGCCAATATGTAAATAATCAAGAAAATATGCAGAAAGACTGATGTATGTTTGACCATCAAGAGCCCGAAGATGTATGTTTGTATGGTGCCCGTACTCAGTATCCATACCGCTATTAAGACATTTTTATAAACTGTAAGAAATATGTGAGCTATTTCAAGATATAATTCTGAAAAACAGACTTCCATGTAAGAAGCCAATTTAGGAAGAAAACAACATAAACAATAGTAACTTGTGTGCTCAAGTGAAGCATCTTTTTAATTTTGAGTAATGAAGATGTCAAGCCAAATGCTAGAGTAGTTTAACTTAATTAGGTGGCCTATTTTTCCAGGCATCCTTTCATTTCCCATTGAAAACTCAGCTTGTATGCAAGGCAGCAAGAGCAATTTTGTCTGTAATGAATGCCTCCGGGACTGCACAGAGTAATCATTTGAATGTTACACTGAAGACTGGTTTGAGTAACTAGTTTGGGCTTGTTAAGACGCCAGACTTCGTTGGACTAACTAGATTACCCGAAGCATGGCAGCTTTGCCATTTTATTGGGTCAATGGTCAAAAAGTCAAGTTGACTTTACGCCTGAAATTTCTGCCAAAAGGAACCAATCTAAGAGTAATTGGTCTAATTTATAGTTCAAATTTATGTCATGATCATGGAAATTTTATGGCCCATAGTCAAGAATTTTTTTTTTTCGAAATTGGTCTTAGAAATATATTATCTAGGCCCTTTTGTGATACCTCATTTACATTCTAACCTAGGAAATTTTCTCATTAGACAAATGTAATTAAAAATATAGATATAGTTATGAATATGCTTGCAAACTCAAAATGTTATAATTCTAATAGATTTAATACAATATTGTACAGAAAGGGACACAGAGAGCCCTCTTGGTCCCACAGCCACTGCATTGCTGATGACAGATAGCAATGTGCTATCATTGTAAGAATAACTCCTGTTATTACTGAGTTCATTATCACTGTCATTCTTCCATTCCTGTACTTGACATGATTTTCTAAGGAGGTGGGAGAGCTGGCATCCTTTGTTAATGTGTGGGGGCATTCACACCACACGGATGAGTGCTAGTAGAATGCAATAGGCAGGGCCAGATTTGCTAAATATCTGCAATGCTGGGCTGAAAATCATTGCAAACAGAAAAGTCAAAGAATTAATGTGATTTGCCCCAGGTTGGTGTGGTTCAGTGGATTGAGGACCAGTATACAAACCAAAGGGTCACCGGTTTGATTCCCAGTCTAGGGCACATGCCTGGGTTGCGGGCCAGGTCCCCAGTGGGGGGCATGCAAGAGGCAACCACATGTTGATGTTTCTCACCCTTTTCCTCCCTCTCTTCTCCTCTCTAAAAATAAATAAGTAAAATCTTTAAAAAAAAGAATTAATATGATTTAAAAATGTACACAAGATCTGTATTCATTTACTCATCTTTCTACAAAAAGCGCTGCATACCTCTGATGTGTCAAACGTTATTCTAGGAACAGGAGATCCTTTCAGGTGGGGGGAAAAAAGAAAGAGAAATTGGTACCAATTTTAGTATGCTACATGCCGCAGAGGGGCAAATATGTCCTCAATAACTCTGATTTGCACACACGAGAGGCATGGAGGTGTGTAAGTGGGAAAGAGACAAGGACCATTCAGCAATGGTGAGAGGAGAAACGGAGAGGTGGAAGTGAGATGAGATGAGACAAGTTAATGAGAAACTGTGGGCCCCAGCACTCAGGCAGTGGTTGTATACAGGGAAAAGAGGAGACCAGTTCCAAAGTTATGCAAAAAAGTAGAACCAACACTATGTGCTGTAACTCAGAGCAGAGTGATAGATAAGAGAGACTGTCCAGGTCCCTGTCTTGGTAGACTGGGTAGGTGGTGTTAACTGTTATGACTACAGGCCAAAAAAAGAGAAAAAAGAAGATTAGGAGGTAAGGGAGTAGGTTGGAGGTGGTGAATCTTGATGTGATGCACTGATCTGTTGAGTCTGAGTGGTTGTCAGGGACAAGGGTCTAGTGAAGTTAAAAATCAAACCCAAACTCACATGAGAAAGCTGCCTGAGATACACAGGTGCTCTTCAGCTTCTATACTCAAAATGTGTGGTATAAAATGTATATCCTATACTTAAGTTGTACATAATATTGCTATATTTTATCACTGTTATTTTTTAACTGTGGGATTTGAGGGCCTAGGTAAGAGACAATTTCAGTGGGGGAAGAGGAAAGAAGCAGGGAGAGGAACCTAATCACAACTGAAAATAATATAAAATGGGGTCTCATTTCATATTTTGAGTTTACTATGATGCTCAGAATTAACAACAAAAATTAGCCAATGCTTAAAGGATAACTGTTCATGGAAAGAAGGAGGAAGAAAGGAAAGAAGGAGGAAGAGAGGAGGAATGAAGGAAACAAGAGGGTAGGGATGGAAACCAAACAAAAAGAAATGGGTTAGTGGAGTAGAGGCCAATGTCAAGGAGGAAGTGACTTAATTGAAAACATGTTTCAATCCAGTAACCAAAGCTTCTTCACAACTTGACACCAGAAAAATCTTCTGATTCCCGCTATTAAGCAATTATTTCTTTTTTTAAAGATTTTATTTATTTACATTTATTTTTAGAGAGGGAAGGGAGGGAGATAGAGAGAGAGAAACATCAATGTGCGGTTGCTGGGGGTTATGGCCTGCAACCCAGGCATGTACCCTGGCTGGGAATCGAACCTGGGACACTTTGGTTCTCAGCCCACGCTCAATCCACTGAGCTATGCCAGCCAGGGCTAACAATTATTTCTTATA